CGTGGTCGAGAGACAATACAACAAGGGGTCATCACACAGCTGAGGCAGGTGCAGGGTGCCGATAGAACGCTGAACGGACTCTGTGATCCACGGTGGCTTGCCCCCTCCCCTCGAAAAGACCTCACCGCGCGGCCCGTCACCGCACGGTCTTGGGACATCGCAAGCCCTGGTCGCCGGAGACGTCCTCGGAGAAAGACCCTCGCCCCACAACTGCGCGGCGACCCTGGCTCTTCCGCGGCATGGTCACCACACCGTCTGGGAGCCCCCGGGCCTTGAGGCCCTCGCTGGCGCCGGAGCCGCTGCACTCGAGGAGCCAAACGAAGGCACACACGCCGACCTTCGAGGCTCCGCGCGGATTGCTCTCGGGTCGGCGCTGGGCCTCCCCGGGCGGCGCCTCCAGCACCGCCCCTGGCACGCTCCGCGCGCAGGGGGGCTCCGGCGCAGATCGTGTGCTCAGGCCGCTCTTTGCTCCTCGGGGCTCGCAGCGCCCTCGGCCTCCCGCGAGGCAGCGACCCCCGTGGCGGCGGGGGTGCCTGCGGCCTTCGCCGACGGCTCGCGGCGCATCACCTCCGACCGCTGGTCGGATCGGCCGGCCGCGGCGCCGAGCTCCAGAGGACGGAGCCGAACGGGTTGACGTTCGCTGCCGTATCGTGCCGGAGCCCCCGCCGTGGAGGCGCACCCCTGTCCGGCAGGCACGGCCAGGACCACCAGCAGCTGCAGACGCCCTGGCATCCCAACCGCGGGCAAGCCGCAGGGGCCTTCTTTTCTCTGAGGCGGGTGGAGGCGGATGGCTCTTGAGCCGAGCGCCTTCAGCCAAAATGGCTACGGAGGCTGGCGATGACGACTATCGGGACGATGACCATGACGGTGACGATGATGGCGATGAAGACAGTGCCGATGATCCCCATGATGGCCATTGGGAGAATGCAGATGGTGGTGACTATGATGGTGGCGATGACAACGATGGTGGTAATGATGATGCTGAGGATGAGGATGAGGATGAGGATGAGTATGAGGATGGTGATGATGATGCTGCTGCTGATGATGATAACGACGATGATGGCGAGGATGATGATGCTGATGCTGATGCTGATGCTGCTGATGCTGCTGCTGAGGATGATGCTGCTGATGATGATGATGGTAATGATGCTGCTGATGATGGTGGTGGTGATGATGATGCTGCTGCTGATGATGATGATGAGGATGATGATGTTGATGATGATGTTGATGATGATGATGGTGGTGAGTACGATGATGAACAACATGTTCAAAAGCAGACGGATCAGTGGCTCAGCCGCGCCGCGACCATGATCAAGGATGCAAAATTGACCCCGCGTTCCGGCCAATATACTAACATCTCCTTGGGCGCGTTCTGACCAAGATATCGAAGCGCATCTGGCCCTGGCGATGAGGGCCCCTTAGGAGGTACAAGAAAGCGTCACGCATCCCTCCTGGCTTTCCTTCCTCCTTGTCCTCGTCGTCCCTCTCCCTAGGTCTGTGAGGGTTTGCAGAAGTTTCTGAAGGTCCCCAGAGGCTTCCAGTCAGAGGTAGGACCTAACAAACATATTGGGAGGAAGAGGCTGGGCATCTGAGATCGAAGCGGCAACCCCGAGGCGCATCGCTGGGGCGCTCAAGCGGGGGGGGGTTGCCCTTGCGCATGCTGCCGGAAGCTGCCAGCCCAACGTGCGGCAGGTTCGTGCCGTGACGACCCCAGCATTGTTTTCTCACACCACGCGGATCGTTCAGCCTTGAGCGATCGGCGGCTTTGCGATCGCCAGATCTATCCGTATTGGCCGATTCTGGAACACTTGCGGCGTTCAACTTGGAGCGCAACCCGATTGAGGGGCTATCGAGCTGGATCAGCTCAGAATCAGCCCAGATTAAACGGGATTCCGCGAAATTAAGCGGACTGTGCTGGATCAGGCGGGAGTCCGACCACCATGGACATACCAACGCCAACCCTCTGCGATCGCTAAGGCGCGCTGGGCCACTGCTCCCGAAAGTAGGCCAGGCACGCGGCACGACGTGGTCCCGTTCGGGCTTCCTCGGGTGCGATCGCCGACGATAGAACAAGGAACAAAACGCAAGAACAGAGGCTTTCAGAGATCCGCGCAACAAATTTCTTGGATCGGCGCTGGACCACCCTCCCTGGCGCGCAGAGCGGGCCTGGGGCGGCGCCGGAGGCGCCGCCAAGGGGGTCCAGCGCAGATCCGAGGAATCAGCGTGGAGATCCGACAGGTTATGCTTATGCCGCATCTTAGCGCGAGTGAATGGGGGGCGATCAGTGGGGGTGGGTGGGGGGGGGAAAAGGGTGCCCTTCTCGGGCCCTGCAGGCATCCTCTGAGGCCCAAGAGGGCCCCCAGAGGGCCCCTCTTCTGCAGCCCTCGCTGTTCCCCCGTTTATTGGCCCTCACATGACGCGTTCTCCGAGCTTCCTCTTCTCCGAGATGGCAGATCGCCAAGAAGAATGGTCCAAGGGCAGCTGTGCTCGCGCCGGGAGCCGCCAGGGGGGATGACAGGGGCCGGTTCGCGCCAAGATTGTGGGGACCTCCCAGGTGCCAACTTGCAGCATCCCTCCAGCAACGTCCAAGCTCACTCATAGCCCGATCCATTCGCACCGAAGCACACTCGCACCCAGACCCATTCACATCCAGGAGCTCATACGCAGACTCACTCGCACGTGGCCAGTTGAATCCAGCCTCGCTTGCGTATATTCGAACACTCCGAGGCACAGCGTGCAAGAAAGCTGCTGCACGTATAGGGGCCTCTGCGCCGCCCAACTAAACGCATGAACCATCCGCCTCCTCATCGACTCACTCCTTCCCGCCTCCTTCCTCTAACCCTTCCATACCCAGACTCATTAGCGCACAGACGCAAACGTATACCCACTCACGCTGAGACTCAATCTTGTTCAACAAGCGCACTCAGACCCACTCACACACAGACTCACTCATACCCAGACTCGCATACTCAGATCCATGCCTACCTAGACCACTCATGCTCAGGCCCACGGGCGTTCAGACTCACAAGGGCCCAGGCCCACCCATGCTCGGAACGCTCATACTCAAACCCGTTCAGACTCCCCATGCGCAGACTCACTCATACTGTCATACTCCCACATAATACGTTGCAACATGCGCAATACTTGGGCCTTCCTCACGGAATCCGTCAGAGGAACATCACGGACCCGTTCGCGCCCAGATTGTCAAGACCTCTCGGGTACATTGGGCGCTTTGGCAGGGTGGGCGCGTCTCTTGCCAGAGTCCCATGGTCATCGCGATGTGCAAAGAATTGAGCTGGGGCCTCCCAAGGGGAAACCCGCCAAGGGGTACATCACGGGCCCGTTCGCACACATATTGTCGGGATCTCTCGGGTGGAACGGCAATTCTGGTAGAGCAGACGCGGTTCTTTTTGGAGCACCCTGATCATCAGGAGGTAGCATGCGTTGCGCTTGGGCCTCCCAATTGGGAGACCCAAGCGCAAGGTGTCCACCGTGGGCCACCTCGGGCCTCCACCTCCACCTTGGGCCCCCACCTTGGGCCCAAGGTGGAGGGTGACACCTGTCACATGTCATGGCGCTTCGGCCTTGGGAAGGGAATCGTGGCACATGGCGGTTCTTTGAGAGCTACCAGTAACTGTGTTATATATACATATATAAGTGTATAAATGTATACATGTATATATATATATACATGTATATAGCGAGCTTCAGGGCGGGCCCACGACGGGTCGTCACGAAGATTTCTGGGCCAGCCTGTTGTGAAGATGTTGGTCAGGTATCTGGGCGCCTGGTGGCGGTTGGTTTGACGCGCTGTGGGTATATGGGCCCCATGAACGCCCAAGGCCCTCGCAAGACGGGTCAAGGGGGGGCTGCTCCAGAGAGGCACAACGACTCACAACAACCCCCCACAGCATCGAAATTGAGCTACATACAGTAGGGGCAACCGCCGTCAACAATTTCTGCCTGTGTTGAGCCAACTATGGCCGCCGGTTTGGGACCATTGTGAAACCGATTTGAAGAGATGACAGGGCCGCACATCTCTTGCATGCTGGAGCGCGCTAACACCATGCAACTGGAACCTTCATGATCCAGCAGGTACGCTCACGTCGATGCTTGGCAGCTCGAGCGCAGCGAAGATGCCACTCCCTTCTCGACATCTTGCACATGATGTGGTTGACGTGGCCTTCAAGAATGGCGTCGTCCTTGATGAGAACCGTGTGGTCCACCTCACGAAACGTAATTTGTGCCGTCGGCCGTCTACTGATGATAAGCGAATGCTGCATAAACCATGTCTTGCGGACGCCTCCGCCGTTTGACAAGCATTCTCCATGCTCATGGGAAAGATTCGGGTCCTGGCCCCGTGATAGCTCAAGCTGGCCGCCGTCTTGAACCGGACTGGATCGCTCGCGATCCAGATCAGGGGGGCGCCTGTCACCTTCGCAACGCTGTCAGACATTGCATTCCATCTCGTGTGTCTCTTCAGCTGCATGTCTTTGTGCACCACTTCCCCATCAAATGGTCAACGTGCTTGAGAAACGGGCCCCAGCGCGTTGGCATCACATCTTCTCTTGGCCCGCCGTGGGGCTCGCCTCCGGCCAGACCTCGCCCCGCCTGGGCCTGGCGCCGCTCCTTCCTCAGAGCTCGGCGCTGGACCGCGACGCGGAGATGCCGGAGCCCCTGGGGCGGCAGGAGGTCGTCCTGCCCACGGAGTGGGAGAAGAACAGCGCCACCTCGGGGCGAGCGCGAAGAGCGGCCCCGGGCAAGGGTGGCCTCGAGGTGCGCGACCTCCGGGGGCCGCTGGGAGGCCGAATCCAGGCGCGCCAGCCACTGCCCGAGGGGCCCCGTGGGCCCGAAGGTCTCTCTGGCGAAGGGCCGCGCTGGCGCGTGGCCGACACCCTGCCGAACGCCGCCGGTGGCCGCCGGTGGCCGCCGCAGGCCGCGCCGCAGGCCAGCGAGGACCGCCGATGCAGCAGACACATGCGACCAGACATCCTGCCACG